AGGAAAGTCCAGAGCAAAGGCTACATGATGGAGTGGACCTGGAGGAGGGTTTGTAAAACAATGAAAGAATTTTTCTTTTACTTTTCCAAGAGGGTAGTGTACTAGGGGGGAGGGTTGGGAGGGGAGAAAAGTGCAACAATGAATGAATGGAAATCCAATGTCTCTGTAAACTTTTACTGAAATTAATAATAAATTTAAATGTAAATAATAATAATAATAAACACTATGTTCTAAAACACTTCACAAAAAATGGGCAAAACACATAGGAAGACTTTTTCATAAAGGATGACATTAGGATAGCCAACAGACACATTAAGAAATGCTCAAAATCACTAGATATAAGACATATGCAAATCAAAACCACAATGAGACATCATCTCACTCTAGTAGCAGTGGCAAAGTTTAACAAGGACAGCAAGAAATAAATGTTGGAGAAGATGTGAAGACATTAAAACCTTCATACACTGTTGGTGGAATTATAAAATGACACAAGCACTCTGGAAGGCATTTGGCATTTCCTCAAAAATCTGAACACAGAAATCCATATGACCAAGTTATTCCATGGCTAGGAATCTACCCAAAGGAAAATAGAACTGAGACACAAATGGAAATTTGTACACCTACGTTCATAGCAGTGTTATCCTCAATAGCAAGAAAATGGAAACAGCTCAAATATACATCAATAAACAAATGGATTGAGAAGTTGTGACATATTCACATAATGGAGTACTATGCAGCACTAAATAACAATGATTTTTGTAAAATACTGTATACCATGGGAGAGTCTAAAGAGAATTATGTTGAGTGAACTAACTCAGTCTCATAAGGACAAATACTGCATAAGTCCAAGGATAACTAGTAAAATGTATAAAAAAGTACAAAAAGAGAAGGGGAGAGAGCAGGAATACAGACCATAGAGAGAGGGGGAATCTCTAGGATAACAGAATTTGGTGGATGGAGGGAAGCAATGAAGGGATTAGAAAATGACAGGGTAATAGTAACCTAGATCAATGATTAAGTTTATAAAATGCAATGTACATGAATCATCATTTGAAACACAATGTGAATGAAAGAATAGGCGAAACACAATGTACATGAATGATATACAAGGCATAAGAATTTTATATGCAAATCAATATTTTTTAAAAAAATAAGGTATCCATTTATAACAGCCAAATACAAATCGAGATACCTGGGAATGACTCTAACTAGAGATACAAAAGACTTTACAAAGAAAACTACAGAACATTCCTGCAAGAGACAATGCTGTTGTTGTTGGTAAGTGCTGTCAAGTCGTAGATGACTCATAGTGACCCTATGAAAAACTTGAACAATTGTATAACTTTCATCATTTGTCCAAGTTCATAAAGTTTCCAGAGGCAAGCTGTTTCGGAAGTGGATGCCACTCCTGCTTCCAGCAGACCTAAATAAACAGAAAAATGTTCTCTTTTTATGGATAGGAAGACTCAATATTGTGAAAATGACAATTCTACCAAAAGCAATCTACATGTTCAACACAATCCCAATACAGATACCAGATTCATTTTTCAAGGAGATTAAAAAAGAAATTGACAAGTTTATTGAAATAGACTCCAAATAGGCAAAACACTTATGAAAAATAAAAATGAAGTAAGAGACATTACACTCCCTGACCTCAAAACCTACTACATACACAATGGTAGTAACCAAAACAGCATGGTACTGGTACAATGTCAGGCACATAGACCAATGGAACAGAATTGAGAACACAGAAATCGACACAGATATCTATGGCCAACTGATATTCAACAAGTAAATAAAACCTATCAAATGGGGAAATGACAACCTCTTCAACAAATGGTGCTGGCAAAATTTCACTGCTACTTGCAGAAAGTTGAAACAGGATCCACGTCTCACACCATACACAAAAATCAACTCAAGGTGGATCAGAGACCTGGGAGTAAAACCCAAAACCATAAAGCTCATAAGAGACAAACTGGGATCAAGTTAGATGGCTTAGTCTATGATATAAAGAAGTTGACAAATACAGTCATAAATGTACAATCTTGAGAGGATAAAATTGATGAATGAGACTTTCTAAAGATTAAATCTCTGTGCTCATCAAAAATTTTTTCCAGTAGGATGAAAAGAAAACCTACCAGTTGAGAAAAACATTTGGCAATGCTATTAAAACATTTGGCAATGCCATTTCAGACCAGGTTTTTTATATCAAACGTTTACAGAATACTCCTGAGCCTCCAGAAGAAAAAGACTCATACCCCAGTTACCAAATGAGCAAAAGACATAGGAAGAATTTTCACAGAGGAAGACATTTAGATGGCCAATAGACACATGAAGAATTGTTCCAAATCACTGGCAATAAGAGAGATGCAAATCTAAACCACAATCAAACACCATCTCACCCCAGCAGCAGTGGCAAAGTTTATCAGGGAAGCAAGCAATAAATGTTGGAGAGGATTTGGAGAAGTGGGAACCCTCAGACACTGTTGGTGGGATTGTAAAATGGTACACCCACTCTGGAAGGCAGTTTGGCATTTCCTCAAAAAGTTGAACACAGAAACTCCTTATGACCCAGCTATTTCACTGCTAGGAAAATACCTCAAGAAAGTGAGAACTGAGACACAAACAGAGTATTTGAACATCAGTGTTCATAACAGAACGATATCCCATCACAAGAACACAGAAGCAGCCCAAATGTCCAACCACAACTGAATGGATTGAGAATTTGTGGTACATTCACACAATAAAATATGATGCAGCATGCAGGAGCAACAATTTTGAAAAATACTACATCATTTGGGAGAGCCTTGGAGAGAATTATGCTGTTAACTAACTCAGTCTCATAAGGACAAATATTGCCTAACTTATTATTGTAAAAAAAGAAGAACTAGTAAGACATGAATGAGGACCTAGCAGAGGGGTGAGGATGAATAGGGGTGAAACCACAGGATTGCACAGTTTGGTGGGTGGAGGGAGTGAGTGAAGGAAATGGGGAGGATCTGGCGGGGACCTGAAAAGACAGAGCAATGATGGACAAGGTCCAATTGTGATTAATTGCATAAAACAGAATGCATGGGAATGATTGTATGAAACACAATGAATGAAGAATAGTGTGAAATACAGTGTATATGAATTTTGTAAGCAAACCAATATAAAATAAAATTTAAAAATAAATAAGGTATCAATCCCTTTTGGAACTTCAATGCAGAGAGACCAGGAACAAATCTATCCCAAGTTCCTCTTGTTGTTTAGGTGCCGTTAAGTGGATTACAACTCACAGCAGCCCTACATGCAGAGAACTTCTTCATAGAGTTTTCAAAGAAAAAAAAAAAGACTAGAGTAAGAATCATTAGCCAGTAACGTGCAAAACACAATATAGTCTTGCTTGCTGAAAATGAAGAGCTCTTGAAGCACTTACTGAAAAAAGATAAAAGACTATGGTTTCAGTATGGATTATACTTGGATATAAAGAAAACAAAACCCCTGACAACTAGATGCATAAGCAACATCATAAGCAGAAATGAAGTTATTTTACTCGGCTCAAAAATCAATACCCATGGAAGGATTAGTTTAAAAAAAAATCAAAGACTGTACATTACACAAATCTTCCACAAAAGACTTTTTTAAATGTTAAAAGCAAAGATACTGCTTTGAGGACTAAGGTATGCCTGATTCAAGCTACAATGTTTTTAGTACGCATGCAAAAGTTGGACAATGAGTAAGGAAGACCGCAGTAGAACTGAAGCCTTTGACTTGGCATTGGCCTTGGCAAACAATATCAAATACACTGGATTTCCAGAGAATAATGATTTGTCTTAAACATATTATCGGGAGGACCACATCTTGGAAAAGGTCATCATGCTGGGTAAAATAGGAGAGTCACCAAGCAAGAGGAAGACTTTCAAAGGAGATGGACTGGTATGCTGACTCTAACAAGGGGTTCAAATATACCAATGAGTCGGAACAAATACAGCAGCATCCAGCAGCAACAGTGTTTCTATGAGCAATGCCAATCTCTGTTCTTTGATTAACTCCCAGAGACAGTTGGGGCCTTTTTTGGTTTCTTTAATGTGTAGAAGAAAAAAGCCTCAGTAATCTTTACAAAGAAAATAATACACAAAGATAGGCCATTTCCTCTGTTAACTGTTTGAGATTGCTTTGTAATTTTCTTTTTTTTTTATTTTATTTGAGATTGCTTTTTAAACTATGCGTAAGGTCCGCTAGTCAAGTAGCTCTGATATCCTAGCCTGGGATTTTTTTATTCAGTTCATACCCTGAAAATACCAAATGAATTTTAATACCAAGTCTGAGAAATCCAAGTATTTCCTTACCTATAAAATGGCAGCTGCTTATGATAGACTAAAAGAAGTGTAAAAGGAAATGACATTCGTTGAAGCATTTTATAAATCTAAAAGAATACATGAAATTTTATTAATATTCTAAGTATTGCAAGTTCTTAGATGAGGAAGAATATATATAAAAACTTAGTGTCTTAGATTAAAATCTCCAGAGGATCATTAACCCTTCTGTATCAAATAAGCTCTGGAAGAAAGGACTTTTCTCACATCTCTGCATTCTTTCCACCCCTCCTCACCTCCCAGGCTTCCTGAAATTCTCCCTTCCATCCCACTCCACTCTTGACTCTACAGAAAGTCAGCTTGGTGGCATTTATACCAGAGGGCACAGCGGAAAGAGGGCAGACACCTTCCTTTCATGGTCTTCCAAGCCTCACTCTACTCAGGTTTCAAAGTCAGAGCAAAATACAATTCCTTTTGTATTTGGATGTTATGACTATATTTAATATAATATTTCAAATAGAAGGACAATGAGATTACTCACGAGACACAGAGGCAAAGGGCTCCTGGCACCGACTCACTGTCCCTCAACAGAAAATTGCCATCTACCCCTTCCCTGAGCAGCAAGATCTCACAGTCTCTCTTGGACAGGGGGCCATGGTAATAAGGCAGGTCCATGGAGAGAGCCTTCGTATCCCGGGCTGCCTGGTCAGTCTGAAATCCTGTCCTAATTTAAGAGCCAGCTCTGAAGAAGGAAGTGGAGGCAGTTGGACTGACGGAGTCTGTGGAAATATGACTTCTGTCTCTTGCTGTGGAGGTGAGAGGAGGTTGCTCTGTAAAAAGCTTCAGGAAATGAGAAGGGCGGGTAGGGGGTGATAAAGTGACCAAAAGATTTTAGCATATATATAAGTGGCTCTAGCATGAATTTCTATGACTCATAAAAGTGGGTGAGAACACTCTCAGAACACAGTAGAATCAGTGATGTTTCAATGGCTGGTACTGCAACGCTGAAGTTCAGCTCCCTCGTGGCCTTGTGCATCACCATAGTTTGCTAGGCTTTTCTCTGGCTGCTGGAGTCCCTTCGAGGAAAAAAACTAGAGCTTTTATATACTAGATACCCATTTTGTGCTGACAAATCAAGCTTAACCAAGCACAAAGCTCAAAAAGTATTTGGCTATTGTTGGAAACAACCTAAGTGCCCATCAACAAATGAATGGCTAGAGAAGCTGTGGTATATTCACACAATGGAATACTATGCCGCATTAAAAAACAAGGAACTCATGCAATATTACTCAAAATGGTTGACTCTGGAGAACATTATGCTGAGTGAAATGTCCGAGTCACAAAGGGACAAATATTGCATGGTGCCACTGTTGTAGAATGGGACTGTCCTTGGGGTTGGGGAGAGACTGAGTAAGATGGGTTCAATAATGTATGCTGCTCTGAAACAGAGACGGGAGAAAACTGTTTAAAAGAGATATGATTAGGTATTTCTGTCATGACAGGAGTCTAGAGCAATGGCTACATGGTGGAGTGGACCTGGGGGAGGGTTTGTAAAATAATGAAAGAATCTTTTCTTTTACTTTTCCAAGAGGGTAATGTCTAGTGGGGGGGAGCCTTGGGAGGGGACAAATCTACAACAATGAATGAATGGAAATCCAAAGCCTCTGTAAATTTTCACTGAAATTAATAACAAATTTAAATTTAAAAAAATAATTAAGTTAGAGTAAGGATGGCAATGGAACCACCTTACCTCTGTAACTTGATTTGTGCCACTATTAGAACCTCTACTCAGAATATTATTGCTTTTCAATTTTTGATTCATGCACTTTTAACTTGTTAGTTAAATTTGTATCTTCTAGGCTGCAACACTTCCATGATACATCTTCAAGGATATGAACATGCACGGCTAAGCACAATTGATAACAGTGCATCTAAATTCCAAAATCAATCTCCATAATAGTCTATGTGTTTCCTACTGCCAAGGGGGCCCTTTAGAGTAGTGAGAGAAGATCTTCACCCTGAAACCTACACATCCCTTTTCAGCAGGAAGTAGCTAAGAGAATATTCCGTCACCTTTTCCTTATGAATCAGGGTGAAGTCTCTCTCAGGGAGGAGTGATAGGGAATGGCAAAGGACACACTGACAAAGGAGATTAATCAGAACTGGCTTTGACAAGCACTGTGGCAATTGGACAATTAAAACAGACATGGGGGTGGGGGGAAAGAAGAATGAACTGGGGATGAGGGTGGAGGAAACAGTGCAACAATGAATGAATGAAAACACAAAATGTCTGTAAATGTTCATTAAAACTAATAAAATTTAATAATAAAAAATAAAATAAAACATACCCAGACATAACGGGAAATTGAATGGTACTTCCACAGCTCAAATTACACGATAAATTGAAGACATCAGTGGGAGAAGAAATCAATCAAACACCATCAGGGAGGAGAGCCAAGGTTCCCGACCACTGGAGTCAAAGACCATCTTTAAAATCCTCGGACAGTTTGGTGGCTTACTCCGTAGAGAATTGTACTGCTAACTCAAAGGCCACACTTCTCTGGTGGTTTGAATCCACCAGCCACTTTGAGGGAACAAGATAGACAATCTCCTTCTGTGATATTTACAGCCTTGGAAAATTTGCTGGAGGGTCAGCTATGTGTTGGTTCCAACTCCACAGCAATAAATAAGTAAGTGAAAGATCATTTAGACATTGTGCCTTTGAGGAGAGAAACTAGTACAAGTGGGAGGGATATCTGGATAAACAAACCTATTGCAAGGATATTTCTTCTTTTTTTATTGGTTTGCATAAAAATGTGTATACATTGTGTATTATTCACGTACATTCATTTCACACATTCCTCCATTCACATTGTATTTCATATATCATTCATGTACATTGTGTTTTATAAAATTCACCATTCATCTATGTCTACTATTTCTTCTTCTTTTCAGGTCCCCGTTAGACCTTTCCTAATTTCTTCACACACACCCCCCACAACTCCACTCATTCAAACTCTCTTATCCTAATGATTTTCTCCCTACCATGTGCTGCCATGTTCCTCTTCCCTTACCCTTTTGGACTTTCAGGTACATCTTACTAGTTATCCTATTTTTACAATAATGGTTTTATGAAGTATTTTCTCCTTATGAGTGAGTCTAAGTTAGTTCACCCAGCATAAAGATCTTTAGAGTTTCTCATATTACATAATGCTGGATAGTATTCCATTGTGTAAATCCACCATAATTTCTCAATCCATTCATTTGTTGATAGTTGGGTTGTTTTCATTTTCTTGCTATTGTGAATAACACTGCAACGAACATAGATGTTTAAATCTCTGTTTATGTCTAAATTTTACTTTTGTTGGTTATATTCCCAGAAGTTCAGTAGCTGGGTCATATGAAATTTCCATGTTTAACTTTTTTAAGGAAACACCAACTGCCATTCAGAATAGTTATGCCATTTTACAATCCCACCACCAGTGTTTGGGTTCCAATTTCTCCACATCCTTTCCAACATTTATTTGCTGCTGTCCTGCTAAGCTTTGCCACTGCACTGGCATGAGATGATATCTCATTGGGGTTTTGATTTGCATATTTCTTATTGCCAGTGATTTTGAACATTTCTTCATTTGTCTGTTGGTCATCTCAATGTCTTTTGCCGATTTTGTGATTGGATTATCAGTCTTTTCCTTATGGAGGCCCTGTAGTATTCTGTAACCTTCCATTATGAGACTCTTGTCTGAGATGTTGTTCCCAAATGTTTTTCCCAGTCAGTAGGTTTCCTTTTCACCTGATTGGGAAAAGTTTTTGAAGCACACAGAGACTTAATTTTTTAGAAGATTATTTTGTCAATTTTATCCTGTCCTGGTTATGCATTTCTGGTTGAATTTGCAAGCCTATTTATACGAAAGGCTAGGCCTTCTAAGTTTGGTCCCATTTTGTCTCTTATGATCTTTATGGTTTGGGGCTTTACTCCCATGTCTCTGATCCATCTTGAGTTTATTTTTGTGTATGGTGTGAGATGTGGATCCCTCTTCAGCTTTCTGCAGGTAGAAGTCCAGTTTTGTCAGCACCATTTGTTGAAGAGGTTGTCATTTCCCCATTTGATAGTTTTTGCTTCCTTGTTGAATACCAGTTGATTATGGGTTATATTGTTGTTGTTGTGTGTCGTCAGGTCACTTGAGACTTATAACAACTCTATGTACAAGGCCCTAAACCCTTCTCTATCCTGATCATAGGTAGAGGAGTTAATTTCTGGGTTCATGATTCTGTTTCATTGGTTTATGTGTCTGTCATTGTATCACTTCTCATAGATGGAAGAAAAGAAGATACTGAACTTGAGTTTGGAAATTCTCAGTTCCTCGGGACAGCAATGATGCATCACTAAGAAGAAAGGTCAAAACAATCTACCCAGTCAGCAAGACTTAGGCTCCTTTTGGTACTTCTGGTAAGGGATTGTGCTACCAACCAAAAGGCACACAGTTCAAACCAACCAGCTCCTTCATGGAGAAAAGGGTAATTTCATCCCATGAGACTTATAGCCTCTGAAAACCTCTTGAGAGTCAGCTATGATTCACTTCCAACTTGACAACAATTAGTTAAGTTGAGCTGAATGCTGATGAGAAAATACCCCTTAAAAAAACATGCTGAGCCTTTTCCATTTTTATCATGTCTGGGGATACTCTTGAGAAAAGCGGTACTCATGTGCTTTCTGTTATCTTCTGAGAGTAATTTCCAGGGCCTTTAAAGCAACCAAACTATCTGACATATTATTCTTTTCAGAGAGAATAAGCCAGTCAAGCATACATGGAATCATTTTTTTTAAATTCCATTGTGTTTACTTAATTCTCACAGTTACCAACTCACAGTCAATAAAACTATACATGAATTCTTCTTTTATTCCACTGCTTCACCAAGTATCTATAGCAGTAACTACAAACCTCAAGTATAATACATAGAATTCTAAATATAGAATTGCATGCTAATGACTCATCTTTACTTCTCTTTACCAATAGTAGTGCATACTCTTGACTCAGTTATTTCATCTGATTCTTCTACCTACTTGCTGTAGTGGGAGGCATGTTGGACTAAATTTTCTAGGGAATTTCCTTATAACAAGTCTTCATTCTTCCTTGGAAACATCACTACTCTGCTGTTAGTATAATGGAGTTGAACTCATCTGGGAACCTGATACCAGAGAGATATGCTTTCAAGTTCAAGTTTATTTCATGTTACTTGTGTGGTCTTTGGCACACAATTCCCAAAGAATTATAGCAGTTGAGAAGAGAATTACTACTGTTAGAGGAGAAAACTGGATATCAAGTTTGGTGTAAGAATAATTTTTGACATAACAAAACCAAACCCATTTCCATCAGATTGATTCTAACTTATGGTGACTCAGGGGTGTCAGAGAACTGTGCTCTGTAAAGTAATCAACAACTTATTTTTATTTTAGAAGTTAGCTGCCATGTTATTCTTTCATGACATCTTTGGGTAGATTTGAATGTCTAACTTTCCAGCTAGGAGCTGAGCATATTAACAATTTGCACCACCCAGAAACGGTTGGGTTTTTTTTGTTTGTTTGTTTTTTGGGGTTTTTTTTTTTACATAAGGCAGGGAGCTCTGGCAGGTCAGTGGTAAGAATCTGCACTGTAATTCCAAAGGCACGCAGT